TGAGGCATTTGATGATTCTGACAACAGATTCAGCTTTGCCGTTTGCTCTGCTGTAATGGGGACTTGCGGTGGTGTGGCGTACATCCCATTCCCGAGCAAACTGGCTGAACTCATGAGAGTGAGTAGAGCTGGTATGTCATGTGTGGCAAAGACTGGTTTGGTTTTTTCGTAAGTGGTCATATCCTCCAGTTTCACAACTTCTATGAAGTCAGCATACATGTCAACAATGACACATTTAACTGAAAGTCCAGCTCAAAACAGTCAGTTTCAACCACTTGCCATGGGATGGTTGGTAAGGCAAGAATCATCAGAGGCTTTATACAATTTGCTGATTGAGCCTTTCTGAAAAGTTTCAGTCAGTTCTTGATACATGTGTCGTCATAACATGATCTCTCGAGCCATGTTGATGGTACTCTCTCTATATAAATATATCCCTTAGGTGTGTGATGCATGGGCTCGGACGATGAGATCACACCTCGTGTATGTGGGTATCACAACTCTGGTGCCTCTAAAGGTGATGCAATTCAGTGCGGCTAACTCATCCTGGTAGAGCCAGTACTCTCTGATACAGAATGGTACCTCCTGCTTGTTGCTTGGCCATCCTGCCATTACCATGTTAGCCAATTATTGCAGAGTTGTGTCCCACAGAGTTTCCTCTCAGATACCCTTTGTCTCTCATCTGAGACAAACACGCCAGACGCCATACTGTTATCGTCCAGCTTCCTCTGGAAATAACAACCTTGAGATGACGTAGGGTGATGTGCCCCTAGTGACCTCTCGTCGGGATAGTGCTCATGGCAGAGTGTCACGGATATACCTTTCTGGTCCAGGCTTATACTCTACATTGAGTGAGTACTTCTACAACTTGAGCCACATTCTCTGAAGGTGTTTGGAGCTGGTGAGAACTGGCTTCTTGTGATCGCCATGAACAGCTTATGGTTGGTTTGGACCCAAACACTGCTACGCCTATAGGAAATACTGGTCAAAATGCTCTGCTGCAAAGACAATGGCCAGGCATTCCTTCTCAATATGGGTGTAGTTGCACTTGCATAGAGAGAGGCTTCATTATGCGTATGCTACTAGTTTCCCCTCTTGGGTGAGGACGGCTCCATAACCCACATCAGGGCTGTCACACTCAATGGAAACCTCTTTCTTGATGTCATAGAACTGCAGTACAGGAATCTGCATGAACAGTTGTTTCACTGTGTCCAGGGCTTTGTCATGCTTGGTGTCAAATCAAACGTGACAGGGTCAAAGGGTCCATAGTAAACTTGTGTGGATGGGATTGCTGCGAGCAGGTATCCACAACAAGAGGCAAGTTGGCCATTGAAAATGAGATAAGTTGGGTGCATCTTGAAGAGTGCACCATACGATTTCAGCACACGTCTCTCAATGAAGTTTTTTATTCGGTCTGAACTCTTTTAACTTTCTGGTTAGGTTTCAGACAAAACATTGCAACGGTGAACCATTACAAAAAAAGGATGTGAGTGACTCTCCTTTTTTCAGTTGAGGTGGTGTACAATTGCGCTTGTGCAGCATTTTTTAAATTTTATAAGAGCAGGATGTACGTGCTCCCTATTAGCTTGCAGATGTAAAAGGTACCAATACAATGAACGGTCGTTGGTGTGTTCCTTGTAAATGGTTACTGGCATTTCATACTGAAAGTCACAAAGATAGAGGTAGTTGATGATGTGCATTCAGCATGCGGACGTTACAATAGACAAGTTTATCTACTGACATACAGCAGCACAAATGAAACACTAATTTCAAAAAAACACAAGAAAAGCACATTCATGGCATTTGAAGTGTCACAAATTGCTGTCTCCAGAGACATCAAGAATTGCTTGGAGCTGTTAGTCCTAGCAAATCAGCAAAAAATTGATGGCTAAACTGACTTGGCGGAGTTTATTATCAACAGGGGAGACAAGGTTGTGGAGCAAGTGACACAGGTGGTTACATCTGTTGTCCCTTTTATGTAGAATATATATTGCATTTCTGTTACAATTTCGGACCAAATATTTCTGGTTGGAGTGTATTCACACCCACCTGTAAAAACATTTCCCCCCGCTTTTGAAACATACTAAAATAATGCTCATTTTTCTATGAATAATTCATCTTATCAAATCCTAAAAGATAAAATGATTTATACACAGCAACAGTAGAAGTTATATTACTCACATATAAGTTAGACATTGCAAATGCATCTGAGTGGGAAGGGGGTGGATCCATGTGGCGGGCGCGTGAAGTGTGACCTGACTGGAATGTTGTACACTGTAGAACTGAAACTAGTACAGACGTCTTAACCACTTGACCATCGAGTAAGCAGAAGGTCATGGATTTGAGTCCCAACCAAGTACGTTTGTGGTTTTTTTCACAAGCCTTTGGAGGCATACACTGGGCATACAGTGTTAAAATATACATCGGGTAGGGCAAAAAATCCCAAATTAATGAAAATGAATTGCTTGGCCTCTACGATAAATTGATCATTTTCATCACAGCCTCATTTCACAAGCACACATGTAACATTATTTCTCCGCAAATACAGCAAAGAAAAATTTAAGTAAAGTGCGACAGGATATTAATTTTGAGGGGTTACAAGTGTGGGAGGCAACACCATGTTAACGGATTACAAAACCAAGCCTCGGGTGGAACAATGTCGTCAAGGCCATTTAGAAGCACAACCTTGGTGTGGTGGGGCAGTCTAGCCAGGTCGTCAAGCATGCAGAGGCAAGCCGGGCATTTGAGGCTGTGGAGTGGAGCCAGGCATTCAGTCCTTGGTGGGATCATGACATTTTTTTTTTGTGGCACTTGACTGCACTGTCTTGAGGCCTGAAGTGGCTGCATCATCAGGTGTGGCTGTCCTTAGGTGCATGGCTCTATTGCTCCTACGGCTTGAGTTTCTGACTTTATTTAACAGGGTTTCTGTTGTTACTGAGATTAGATGGGAGGACTCGTCATCCCTCCATTTATATACGGATGCGGCGGCCAGTGTCGGTTTTAGTGCATACTACAATGGCAGATGGGTTCAAGGTCATTGGCCAGATGATATTTTGCGCGAGCCACCATCTATTGCCTTTTTTAGAATTTCTTCCTCTAGTCATAGCTGTACTGCGTTGGGCGCAGCATTTAGCTAACTGTAGGGTTCAGTTTCACACAGATATGTCAGTCATGCACATTGTCAATAGTCAGTCGTTGCGATGCCCACGTGTAATGCATCTGGTTCATTTGTTTGTTCTTGAATGTCTCCATTACAATATCTCGTTTAGAGCGGTTCATGTTCCAGGAGCAAGTAATGAGATAGCCGACACTCTCTCCTGTTTCCAGGCACATCGCTTCCAAGATGTGGCCTCTCACACTGAGGTACAAATGACACCGTTACCAGCTGTCCCACTCATGTGGTAGACGCCGAGACCAACCGCCTGCTGCAAGCGCCTCTGATGCCTAATACCCACAGAGTATACTCCAGCGCATGGAATCTGTTTTGTTGTTTCCACCACCTGCAGATGTTGAACACAGGTGGCCCAGCTGATGATGAAGATATTCATCACTTTATTGTATGACTTTCAGTTCGCAATTAGGCGGCGTCCACAATTAACACGTATGTAGCCATTGGCTACTATCATGAGCTGCATGGTTTTGATGATCCCATGGGGGAATGTTTCGTATCCAAGTTGCTGGAAGGGTGATAGCAGAATCACCCGGCCTTTGATGGCAGGGAGCCTGTGTCAGAGACCTTGCTTGCTACCATGATCCGGTCATTGCCAGCTGGGTGTGCGTCTTCTTTTGCAAGCAGTATGTATCCAGCTGCCTTTTCATTTCTTACGCTTAGGGGAATTTGCAGCCGATCCTCGGCACCAAATCTCAGAATCAGTGCGGCCCCCCTCAGGTTGTCCGTGTTTCACGTTCACTTGATAGCAGTATTTGTGGGGTGGTTGCTTTACACAGATTCTTAGGGATGCACCTGTTGGTTTCCACAACTTTATTTTGCTATTTTGGTGGGGAGCCCCTCACTCATTATCAGTGCGATGCTATGGCAAGTCCTCACTTTTGTGCATGTTCGTCATCACCACATTCTCGGTCATTCATTCCGGATCGGGGCGGCCAGTACCGCTGCGCAGTCTTTGGTGTCCATTGATGACATTCGTGCCATGGGCCATTGGTGCTCAAATGCTGTCCTCTGGTATATTCGTCCTTTCCTGGTCAGTGTCCTAAATAACATGTCTTTACCTGATACAGAATTTATCAACATTCACTAGCATTATTCATGTAGGTTGAGTTTTAGTTATGGGCGACTGCCTCGTTTGATAGGCGACTGGTGATCTGGAGTTCGACGATAACATTGAGGTCCAGTGGGAAGGCAAAAGTGATGCTGGCTTAGGGGGCATATTTACTATGCTGACCGGAAGGAAGATGGCTGATCCAGCAGTTTTAACACTGCACGTAGGCATACATGACCTTGTGTGTATTGATGAATTTTCAATGCACCAATGTATCTTGTTATTGCCGAACACCTGTATGTGTCGTTTTCCTCAGACATGTTTAATTTAGTCAGAAATATTACCACGCTTATTCTATTTTGGAACAAATGCACAAAACTCATCGGAGCGTAAATGCAAGGCATTGAATCGGTAGGCTTGGAAACACGATACCAAATTAGGTGCTCATTATTTGCCTCATCCCCATTTTTCTTGGCAAACATCGGAGTTATTATCGTTATGATGGAATTCACTTGTGAGCCCAGGGCAACAGTGTCTTTCGCAAAAATATTTGTACCTGCATTCCCTCGCTTGTTAGTCCACTGGTAAAGTAGGGGAGGTTGGCCATACTGAGGTTTGTTTGTTAGTGTTTCCTGTACGTCAGCCATTCTCGTGTTCAATTGTTGTGTGTTTCCTGTTGGGGCACTACGAGTGTGGCAGATTCGGAGCGGAACCACACAGTCAATTATTGTAAACAATCAATAAGAGTAGTGTTCATTTCCCCACCCACCCACTGCAACTTACTTGGATGTGTCTGGAAGACCAGAAGATAGCTCTAAAAATACTGATAGGTAATTGCCTCTGACAACACCATTTCCATCCTGTACAAAGACAAATATCAAGAAAAGAGATGGCACATTATTTTAAATGCAATTACTTAAAGTTGAATTAATTAATATAAAATAATTTCTGAGCTTGAAAAGATGAACTGATACTGAAGTTTACAAGATCAGTTTGAATAAGATGGAAGTAACTGTTCTTCACGTGGGAAGAATCGGTCAGTTTAAATTCCTTTTCCCAATTATAACAAACTGGATATGATGTATGTTTTCTGTTGAAGGGAACTGGGTATGACACATTTTCTCTAACCAAATGAATCTGATTGATGCACATTAATTTAATCGTGATTGATTCAGTAAAACTGTGGCCTCCTCAGGTGATCTGCTTTTGGTTCTAAAACCTCACACAAATATGACCATATTTCTATTAGAAATGAATTGAAAAGTCACTTGATGAAAACATTTTCACCCATTCCAACCTTTGACACGTACTTGTTCAACTTACACGAAGCAGCTATTGAATAACACTCTCTAATGACACTTTTTTTGTGTGTTACAAAAACAGTAACACTAGAGGTTTAACAGTCGTTAAAACAACCACAGGCTGTTTCGGCATTTTTGATGAAAGAACTTTGAGAAATTAAACTATGACAGTATTAGAAACAAATAAGTGATAATGTTTTATTCAATACGATACGACATGTATTTAAATAAAGCTTTCAATAAATGTGTTGAGAGCTGTTTACTGAAGATATTTTAAAGAAATCATCATATGTACTGGTATTTCAAAGAATATTTAGCTTTACGAAGTGCACTTTTAATGTCACTTGATTTGTCAGCTGATGATGTCATCAATACATGAGGGCAATTTTCGTCTATAATACTTCCCTTTGTAGTCAATAAATATTGTTTTGTTTGGCAGTTAGGCACGGTGGTATTACGTAAGACGGTGCCATGCATCTTTCACATACCACAGCCCTTTCACTATAAAGCGTATAAAAGTCATTCACTGTGATAGTGAAATCACTTCAGGCTCTAGCACTCACGCTGTGTGTCCACTACCAATGCCACACAAGTGCCTTTGGTCTCCAGAGTAATTAATATCTACTGAGCAGGGCCATGCAGCTACAAACCCCACATTATTATTCAATAGGTTTAAGGAATACTTCGATTAGAGATTTGAGGCCATTTCTGCACCCAAGGCTGATTCAAGTTCTATTCGGGAACTCAGAAACAAGCGGAACCCTAAAGAATTAACAAAACCAGGAAATGTGGCACAATTTGAGTTTAGTGGAAAATTCAAAATCACTTTAGATAACATAAAAACAGCAGTAATTTCCAGAGATGATAAGGAGCAAGCCATTCAAGTGATTGAAGAGGCTGAACAACTGGTGGCGGAACGCAAGCAGAAAATCAAGATTGCAGACTCTAGCAAGGTGGGGTGGTAGATTGTTTTGTGTATGGACAGACAAACAGCAGACTGTCAAAGCAGCAGGGGAGGAAGGTCATTGAGGGCAGGAAATAGCAAAAGAAGCGAGCCTACGATCATGGCCTCGGCTATCCTCAAAATCCTGCCAAACGTCCTCTTTTTCGAGGTATGTGTTTCTCCTTGTAAATTCAGCCTGCGTGCCCATGTGCAGACCAGCCCCCATGATGTATGTTTAATAAATTCTGAAATGTATATATTCTCCCACTTCTTATTTAGTGACGTTCCATAATGTGACACAGTTTTCATGAGTATAAGCGAAGCGAAGTAGCATGAAATCTGCAAGATTTCAACCTAAGGAGATATCAGGCCTTAAAGGATGCGCATGGATTGTAGAGAAAATATCCTGTTTGGATCTGCGATATTGGTTCTTCTGTACAAGGACGATTGTGTGTACAGGACATAGCAAGATACAAAATTTGCCATTTTTGCATTTCTGTATACACCCTAGCACTGCGTACTTATAGTTTAATATCAAGGGCGTATTGTGCAGAGGCATATAGAATATAGACCATTTTCCTGTTTCCAATACTTATGCCCCTTGCACAGACAGCCAATCAATGTAAGTAGCATCATCGTGCTATACGATAAAGAAAACCCCAAAATTGGAGAATAATGATTGACCCAGGACATACACGCAGATTTAGAAAGAAATAAAATATTTAACCTCTGACATAAGCACTTTTCTGCATGCTCGAATATGGATACGTACAAACTACAAACTAACAAAACTACAAAACTAGCCATTTTGGTGTTTCCACTGATCTCAAAGTTACCAGGATTGTAGCTTGAAACGTGTACAATGTCAATGGGCTGAACTAAATAAATATTGAAAAATCAATGAATGATAAATCACATGACGGCATCATCATGACGTCATCGATTTCCATTAAATCTTGTATCAGGTCTTTATGTCAGCTATCACCTTGATAACGATCAAACATCGCGAAGTTACTATAAGGGTGGCTTGAAAACATGTACAAAGTCAATGGGCTAATAAAACACATATTCAGAGAAACTGCTGCTTTGACGTCACATGATTCGCATTTAAACTGAATGATTTTATTACTTGATATTTTGACTCTTGGGTATATTTGTAATTGAACGGAAGGGAAAATTTAGTCTGATTTCTCTTTCGTTCTGGTCGTAAATCTCGGTCGCAGTTGAGGACTACTCGCTCATAAAGTTTGATAATAGTGTGTGGTAGAAAAACGTGTAAAACCCTATGGCAAAATATTAAATTTTGAAAACTCAACAATAAATCACATGACGATGTAATCAGGATGAATTCGTTCTAAGTTCATTCTTTATGAATTTTCTGAGTGCACACCAAGTCTGAAGCCTATCAGATTTAGTAAACTACCAAAGTCGATTGATGGGAGAAAAACATGTACAAACCCCATGGCCAAAAAAATAAATATTCAAAAATCAATAACAAATAACGTTATGATATCATCATGACAAATTTGTTCTACACACATCCTTGGGTAATTGTCTAAAGGTCTGCCAAGTTTGAAGTCGATCAGATTTAGTAAACTGCCAAAGTTGACTGTTAAAAGGATGATGACTGAAAAAGAAGAAGACAAGACTAGAGGTTTTGTCTGTCTCTACCCCTTGACAACGGGAATTTCTTTCCGAAAGCCGACTCCAAGAATTCCAGCCTCGCTTGGCCACGAAGGCCACCTGCCAAACCGCAAATTCTTGGTTTGTGGCCCTGCATGCTCTGCA